CTCTTTCTGTCTCTCTAGTCTCTATGTGTGTGTCTCTGTACGCTGTGTCTCTTTCTGGACCTCTTTTTCGAGTAGTAGCGAGCATAGTGGCTGGGGGGATGCTCAGCACTCCCTCCATGCCTGGGCCTCTCCCCTGCTGGACCCTGGGACCCGCCCACCTGGTTCTAAGAAAGGAGGCCCAAGAGAGATCACCCTTTTCTGCTGTGTGATCTCTGGCCAGCCCCTTCCCCTCTCTGTGCCTTACGCTGCTCACCTAGATCCAGAAACGTGAGTGAGGACTCCTGAGGACCGTTGGCACCCCCACAACAGTCCAGCATCCGTTGCTGTGATCTGTACCCTCATTTGGAAAGGGAAGCTGATGCGCAATGGTGGGGGGTGTGGTCAGAGGTCACACAAGGGCCTTGAAGCCCTCGGAGTCCTGGTCACTCTGATAGAGGGTGCTCAGGCAGAGACCCACTATGGGGACAGGCCAGAAGGAAGTGAGAGGATGTATTGAGACAGTGAGGGCCCTGCGTGGAGGGAGAAGGGCCCAGAAGTAGGAGGCTCAGTTAGCACCACGTGGTGGCCTAGCCTTACCATGCATAGCCACTCAATGCCCTATTGTCACCGGCACCCAGGGATCTGTCACCGTGACTAGGGCCAGGGGGCGAAGCTGGGGACCAAGGGGGTCTGACACAGCAAGTGACCTCAGGTGTGTTCACTGCACAATCCATGTCAGATGTATGTACGATGGTGCAAAAGAGTTGGAGAAAGAGAGAAAGGGAGGTGGAGATAGAGAAGGGTTCAGAGAGGAGAGATGGGGACAGAGAAGAAGAGAGAAACTGAGAGGAAAGAGGGAAAGAGAAACAGAAAGAGGGAGAGAACCAGAGGAAGAGTTGGAGAGAGTGGGAGGGAATATTCCTTTGCTGCAAGTCAGGGTCTGCCTCTCCATCTTTGATCTGCCTTCCTCACCTCTGACTTCATCTCTCCATCCTTGCCTTGGGACAGTCCTCAAAGGTCCCTGTGATCCCTGTGTCATCCCAGGACATGTATTTGCTGTGGGCTGAGGCAGGGCGGGTGTGGCCTCCACCAATCCGATCCCCATTAGCAGCTCAGCCGGCTCAGCCTTGGAGGAAATGCGACACTGATCCCTCTAAGCTCTGGCACAGATGGGAGGGAGATGGGGTGGTGGTGAGATTAGCAGACTGGGCCTCAAGATCCTGGGTCGGAACCCCCCCCCCAGTCCCCTCTTAATGCCATCCAACTTGAAGACAGTATTTGCGGTGGGTAGAGACCTAGTAACCCTGTAGATTCTGGGGTCATCAGATAAAGGGGTCAAACCCTAATGCCATCGCTACCACTTCCCCTTGTCATCCTGGGCAAGTCACAGATCCCTTTTACCCTCAATTTCTCCATCTGAGAAATGGAGATTATATCCAGCTTTCAGTGTGGTTGTGGGAAGGCAATGAAGACTGTATCTGTTCAGTGCCTGGCCCTTAGGAATGCTTCCAAAGCTGGAATCCGGTGGTGCCCTGAAACAGTGGCTTGTGTACTGCTGATTGCTTTTTGAGCTCCCATAGCAGACATTGTCAACCAATCACAGAACTCTAGCTTGCTGAACAGGAATTCAGACTCCATCTCCTCATACATGGGGACTTCTGTGCCATAGCTTTAGTGGTGGGGCAGAGGCCCAGAGAGGCAACGTGAGTGTCCGAGGACACACAGGGAGGAGGGTGGAGCCAGCAGCTGGCACATGGTGGCACCCGGTAAATATTTGTTGAATTGAATGAGTAGACTCTGCCAACAGAGTGGATTTAAATGTAGTGATGCCCAGGGTTTGGCATAGAGGAGGTGTGCAACTTTGCTTTGCTTTGTTGTTATTATTATTATTATTATTATTATTATTATTATTATTAGCCTTTTCATTAAGAAAGTGAGCCCTGGAGTCTAAACCCTGGATCTGAATTCTTGGTTCACCAATTGCATGCTTCCCAACCTTGTGCAAATCCCTCCTCCTTCAGTGAGACTCAGTGTTCTCATCTGTTAAGTGGAGAAAAGAGTTCCATAACATTCAATGTTGGGAGAATTGCTTGGAAATTTTCACATAAAGAATTTTGTCTGGCACATAGCAGGCCCTCAATACAGGCCACATTACTAGAAAAGTGTCAATGTTACAAGACCAGGATGCAGATGTGTGGCGTTTACATTACTGCTTTACTTCAGGTGCCTGTGGCAGACATTGCTAATCGACCCAGTTTGTGTTCCTGGTGAGCCTGGACGTGGCTTCAGAATAATCCTCCAGACGGCTTCCCCAGACAGCCACTCCAAGCCAACTGGAGATGCCAGGGAGTTGACTCTCTGTGTCATCCTTTAAATAAGAATAAATGGAGAGAAAGCAGAAGCCCAAAGAAGAGCTAAGATTGTCCCTGAGGACATACAGCTATTAGGTGGCAGAGATGCCCCCAATGCATTGGCCAGTCATTAAAAACAGTCATTAAAAGCTCTGAGGTCCAGCATATCCAGGTTTGAAATCAAGTTCCCCATCTATATCACCCAATGTCTCTGAGCTGTTTCCTCAGTTACAAAATGGAGAATGTGTTGCCATCTTTCAAAATTTTTGGGAAAAATAAGTGAAATCATTCCTTGAAGCACTTCACATGGTTCCTGGTACCTAACATGATAGGTGTTGATGGAGTGAGATGATTATTAATAGCAGTATTGTGAGGCAGGGCTGGTGGACATGACAAACCTGCTTCTACTTTCCAGGACTGTGCCTCTGGCAGACATGGCTAGCCAATCCCAGAATGCTTTCCAGCTGCACCCACAATTGGTTTTAAATTATTCCCTGGTCGCTTTGCCAGTAAATTGGAGTTTGCAGCAAAGTGGAGCAGAGGTCCAGAAACATTAAGTAGCATATTTGAGAACACACAGCTGGGAAATGTTACAGTCAGCACTAGTCTTGGTTGGCAGTGGAAGTTGGAAATACAGACTCTGAATTAGAAATGCTCGTGTACAAATCCCTGTTTCACCATTTATAGGCTTCATAGTCTCTGAACCTCACTTTCTTCATCTGTTGTCTTAGTCAGCTCAGGCTGACTGAAATACCATAAACGGGGTAGTTTAAACAGCAGACATTTATTTCTCATAGTTCTGGAGGCTGGGAAGTCCAAGATCAAGGTGTGAGCTGATTTGGTTCCTGGTGAGGGCCTGCTTCCTGGTTTGCAGACAGCTGTGTTATCACT